ATCCAGGCTGCTAGAAGACCCTCCATTCAGCAGGTCAAGTCCTTCTTGGGCCTGGCTTCCCAAACATTGCTCTGTTTCAGCTCCCACTTGGTCCCTATTATAACTCCTCCACAGAGAGACTCAGGACGGAAGCCCTCACCTAATTTGGTATTCAGGGCTTTGAGCTGGGGTTCCTCTCTAGCTGGGAGAATCAGGGACTCATTAGCAGATGCTTAAATGTCAGAGGGGGACAAATCTTGGCAGAGCTGGACTTAATCAAGTCTCCTGGTTTCTCCATTTGCAACCTGGCCACCTGATGAGCATTGAAATCATCTGGGGAAGGAACCAACCCATCAGCCCCTCTTCCCCTTTCAGTTTTCAGTGTGAGCACAACTGGAAAGAGAGCAGCCACAGAGCTTTACCTGCCCTTCCCAGTGTCCACAGCTCACAAGATCAGCGAGATCCTTCATATGATCTGCCCGATGTTCACGCCTCCATTGTACAGATGAGGTAACTGAGGCTTCCCAGGAAAGGAACTGGGCCTGAAGATAAGCAGCTGTGAAGAGTAAAGTGGCTAGTGGGCTCTGTGCACAGGAAAGCTACCCAGTTAACAGACAGCAACACTGACCTTCAGGGAAAAGCAGCCTGCAAGCACCACGTGGCAAAGTCAGGATGGGAACGTGTGTGTCTACTCCTTCATCTGCTTCTTGGCAAAGGCTTCTCATTGCTCCATCAGGAGTCTCAGACAGGGAAGAGCCTCTGGCATGGTGCCAGGCTGAAGGGCATTCTCTCAACTGGAAGTGGGAGCAGAGATGTCTGGATACACATGTGAATGTGCTCTATGCACAGACTCGGCAGGACTGAACAGGAGGCTAGAGCATTCAGTTCATGGAGCCCAGATGAAGAGCCCCTAGTGAAGCCCCTGGGCCTTCAGTTACTTGACATCATGTCAGAGAGAGAATGCAGGAGTGACTCCTGACAGGGTGACCTCAGATCTCTCCCTGGGCTCATTGCAGCACCAGAACTCCTGTGCAGACTTTCACCATGGAGTTATAAAAGGATTGGATGAGCCCTCCAGTGTTCCAGGCTCTGTGGGCAGCAGGTCTGATGTGGGGGCTGGGCTGAGAGAGAGAGAGAGAGTGAGTGTGTGTGTGTGTGTGTGTGAAGCAAGCAGCAGATTGCCATGCAGGAGGAAACCACCGTGTTTGTGGGAAGCAGGCCGGTTGATGAACAGCCAAGATAGAGCTCCCTGGATGAATGTGCCCTGCATTGGCAACACCCTATCATGAGACTGAGAGGCCAAAGGCACAACCACACACCTTTGCACAGACACATAGTCATAAGCCCTGTCATGAGGCCAGGTAGGGACACACCTGCACACCAGAAATAAACCAGTGCCACGGAGTCTGTTCCAGCTCACAGCCACTTCTGTAGAACTGAGTGGATCTACCCCATGATGTATCCGAGACTTCATTCTAGATCGCCGCATTGCTCAGCAGCTGCCCCCCCCCGGGACTCCTTCACCTGCTCGCACACACCCCCTGATCCTGCGTGGATGGACCACAAACTTGCAGGTGGGCAAGGTCCACAGGCTTATTGTGTTCTCAGATTCTGACATCCATGCCAATTGGAGACCGACCGCTTCACTCACAAACGAAGTCACACATGTGAAAACCAGATGCGCATATTCCTCATCACGAAAGGCCAGACACAGTCCCCACTGTGTTCACACTCCGCAGGGAGGCCTACACAGTGGCCTCTTAGCTCATAGCCAGTCACTGCCAGGTACACTGCCCCCCGCCCATGTGCTCACCCAGACACCCTCACCTTCTGAGACCACATGCTTCTGCTCCATCTTAGGAGGAATGGGGGAATGTAGTTCTCAGATCCCACCAGGGGGATGGGGGACATCCAAGGAAGAAACCACTTTATAGGATGAAGGGTGGTGCGCCTCCGATTCCTTACAGAGGGACCAGGACTGCCCCAGCCCTGAGGGAACCCCTTGTCCCCACTCTAATATACTTGTTGCCCTAACTGTACCTCAGGCTGATTTTCAGGAGGCCTCTCTCATAGGATCCTGGCAGGGAAATGGGTTTTAGGTACCATCGAGTCGAAGAGCAGATCGGAACCCTGTCTATCCAGTGCCGTCCTCCCAGTCTCTGATACACTCAAGCCCATAACTGTAGCCAGTGTGTCAGTCCACCTGGTTGAGGGTCTTTTGTCATCCCTCTACCCTCCCAAGCGTGATGTCTCTCTTCAAGGAATAACATCTCCTAGCAACATGCCAAACTCTGCAGAACGAAGCTTCACCATGGAGGAGAATATTGGCAGATGGTTCTGGAGACTCAGGGTCACGATCCAGAACAATGGGAGTGATTGAAGGCAATTGACAACTGCTGCAAGTGCCCTTCAGAGTGACAGTCCTCATTTTCTGAATGATCGGTGAACAAAAGTGTAAATGGCAGTGTTTAGAAACACTTAAACCTTTCTAAAGAGAGCCTTCTCAGGAGGTAAAAAGGGTCCAGGTTCTGATGCCTGGTGACCCGTGTGTGTCACGGTGGGACTACATGGCTTCCGTCACATGACCCTGCGCGCCCTTCTGTATGATGGGACCCTCCTTGAGGGGGAGGAGGATTCTGACAGATCACCTCAAGCATGAATCATGTGTCTATGATAGCACAGATAACATCAGTAAGAGCAGAAAGACTGACTTTGAATTCAGGTCAAACTCTAGGCTCAGCCTCGCTTCCTCCTATCAGGTCAGCTTTCTGGGTCCAGTGCTTTCAACCCTCTGAGTCTTTTGTTTTATCTGTATAAATGTTAATGTGCCATCAAGTCACTTGTGACTCATAGAGACTCTATGTACAATAGTCCTGAAACCTGTTCTATCCTGAGCCAACCTTATTGTCTCAGACACACCTTCCCCCATTTCCTCAGTCACTAAATCAGTCCATCTCATCGAGGGTCATCCCCCTCCACCCTCCCAAGCACAACGTCCCTCTCCAAGGACTGGTCCCTCCTTACAACACGCCCAAAGTATGTCAGACGAAGCTTCAACATCCTTGCCTCCAAGAAGCAGTCTGGATTCACCCTTTCCAGGACAAACCTGTTGGTTCTCCAAGCAGTCTGAAGCAGCCTGATTTCACCCTCTCCAGGATGAACCTGTTTGTTCTTCTAGCAACCCACAGTATATTCAGTACTCTTCCCCAGCACCACAGCTCAAAGGCATCCATTCTCTTGTTATCATTAGTCATTGTCCAGCTCTCTGACACATAGCAAGCAATTGCAAAGACTATGGCATGGAGCAGGTGCACCTTAGTCTCCAGAATGCAGACCTTATTCCCCCAGGTTGGGCATGAGGGTTTGGGAGATTGCCCAGGTGAAGGGCTCAGCCCTCTTATGGCCGTGGCCACTACATGGTGACTGTTGTGAGAATGTCACAAGGAGGTTGTGGCTTTAATAAATCATAATTAAATAGTAATCATACTGCTGTCATTACTGTCAGTAGAGACCAACTCATAACAGATCCTTCAGCAGGTTTTCAGAATCAGTTAATGGCACAGGAGGAGATTATCCTCCTTTCTCCCTCAGAGCACGTGGTGGATTTGAACTGCCTATCTTTGGGTACTGTGGTTGTTAGGTGCTGTCGAGTTAAGTACAACTTATAGCCACCATATAAACAAAAGATCTAAACCCTGTTCTGTCTTTGCACCATCCTCACACTTCCTGACACACCAGAGCCCATTGCAGGAGTAACTGTCAATCCACCTTGGGGACTGAGGTTGAGGGTCTTCCTTTCCTTTGCTGACCCTCCACTCCTCCCGGTATCATGTGTTTCTCCAAGGAACAGCCTCTCCTAACAACATGCTTAAAGTATGTGAAGCGAAGCCTCATCTTTCTTGCCTCCAAAGAGCATTCCTGGCTGCATCTTGGAAGGATCCCAAACATCTGAATTGCTATCAATAAACCAGGAACAGGAACTTTCTTTGAATTATTTTGGCTTTGGAAAGACCAACCAAACATATCATGTGACTGACTTGCTCTGTTTCGCTCTCAGACCTTGAACAAGACCCTTGCCTTCTCTCGATATTAGCATGCCAACATAGGAGCATGTCAACAATCAACAATCTGTGTTTTGCAGATGACACAACCTTGCTCGCTGAAACTGAGGAGGACCTCATGCACTTACTGCAGAGGGTCAAGGACCGCAGCCTTCAATATGGACTGGGGCTTAATGTTAAGACAAAAATTCTCACCACTGGACCAAT